CAGTTGACGATAATTCAGTAAGCGAAGGAGAATTTATAAATTGAAAAAGGTAACCTTAAACCAATTCGATGGCATTTTCGCTAAATAAATAGTATCGGGTCGTTCACCGGGTTCTCGTTCATTCATATTATCTGAATTTCGAAAGAATTCATCCCAATCATGTCGGGTAGGAAAATCCGACTTCGCTTCCGCTGCTCGGACTTTTAGCGGCTCAAAAAAACCCATTACTTTCAACGTATAACCATCCAAAGCTTTAATGACCTGGAAACTATATTTGGCATCAAACGCAGAAAACTTCAGGACAAAAAAAGAAATTCACTGATGAATTGTCTTCTCTATGTGGTTCATACAAGTAAGTGACAGATTTCCTAACTTCAACAACTGAAAAAAAAGCCTTTCCAAATATATTCTCGTTGATATGAAACCAAATAAGAGTCTTTAAAGAAAAAAATCAATTAAATCAATGTATACTTTCAATACAAGTTAACGACTTATATTAAAAGAACCTATCATATTTAGATATTTACTTAGGTAAACGTAAACAACGAAGTAACATATTTGAATGCATAATGCATAACATCTCAAACAATAACTACTTAACTTATAACCTTAGCAAGAATCTTGCGGTTGGGGAGCTCTGCCTCGAAGCGAACCAACTCGATAGTACTTGTCATGACACGAATTGATGAAAGCTACAAAATAAAAAATGTTGTTTATTGTGTTAGCAAAAGTAATTTCTCATACCAATGCGAATGCGAAGGTGAAGAACAGAGAGCAGAGGAGGACAAGTGGACTGCGCCGGAAGTTATAATCAAATATATTTCTGAAACAACGGTATCACATTGTTAACAGGTACAACCCAGACGATCTAAACCAGCAACAATTTAACAAAGTTATGACAATGCGAAACATCTAGATAAGCAATTAGCTTCTGATGCCTAGCTTCTTTTAAAAGAGTTGTTCATAATTATGACTAGTACAAAATTGGATTATTATTCAGGAGGCATCTAAAGTCAGGAATATAATATGTTACCATACCTAAACATACAAACGGCTTAACTTCGCATAGCTTTACATCTGACATTGCGAATTTCTTCATACAGAAAGCTAAGATATAGCATGTAGTTGACATTCATTCACTGATCTGAAACAAAGTGAAGAGAAAATGGCAAATACCTCAATAGGACTAACGGCTTTTTTGATTTTCTCCATCAAATCCCAGTTAGAGATCGACTGTCCAGGTTGTTTCAGCGGAGGCAGACAGACAGTGACCGTCATTCTGGCTGATGGTTTCACGTAAAGACCCACTGGAATACACAATGGTTCCAATTCATCAGCCATTGAGATAGGTGCATCCTTCTCGTGATTCCTATCTTCAGGACAATTTCTAAATGAGAAAATGAAGAAAATGAAATGAATCTGAATATCATAACGATACGTTAAATAATAAAATATCATAAAAAAGATGATTTCAATGAATTAAAAAATTGCATACAACACTGTAACTTAACATATGGTCAGAGATCGAGTGTCAAAATTGTAACTTAATATGTCGAAGAGGTGTCAATTTCTCTACCACAAGGTACCAAGAGAATATCAGCAATATATACACAGCAATACACACATAAACAGCAAACAAACAAGGATACCTGGAATAACTGCACATAAGCAAATGAATACACTTTTCCTCTCTGCTACGACCTGCTTGTCTACCTGATCAGTTAGTTGGTGGCTTTTGTATGTGGATGTGTGAATATGATATTCATTGAAGGGTAATACATTCCTCTACGACCTATGACCTAAAGCTGAACTTCCACCTTTGTTTTGTTGCTGACCACTTAAACATACACAAATTAATTGGAAAGAATAATCTAATTTCATAAATACCAAATTTTATCAGATGATAAAGGACACAATAACTGCATTTAACATTTGTTGTGGCCCTATAGATGAGAATTGCTAAATTTGAAGTTCACTTAAATTCGCGCAGTTCTTATTTTATTCATTTCTTATGTCCTAAATTTAGCACGTAAATGCGATTTTGAAAGGTGCAGCTGATCAACTTTAAAAGTAAGTAATACTTATTAACAAGTAGTGCAGTTCTATGAATGAATATATGAAAGAATCTCTACTAAATGGATTAACACCACCAAGCTATTATTAGTATATTTGATGGTATTGTCATAGTAAATAATGTCAAGTAAAGGTCATTTTTGAAGTTGAAGTGAGGTCAAAATAACTAAATAATAATGAATTGTCAGTTATCCGTATTCCGATGTTATATTTTTATGGGATTTGTTGTGTTATTTGCATATTTTTATAAGTCCGTTGTTTAACCGGGAAATTTATATTAATAGCATGAAAAAAAAATCATGTCTGATGAACATAATATCAAATAAGGGTCATAACACTATATATGGATCAGAATCTAAACGATCAGTAACTAATTTATACGCTTTAGACGACGCATACATTCAACAATATTTTCTGAGGGATTTAATTAAAATGAAGATTGGGATTTGATCATCGTAGTTCATAGGAATACATATGTGTTTCCTAAATGTATCAACAGGTACAAATATCAGGAATAAGTAATATCCAGAATTAATAAATCAACAGGTATAAATAAGAAATATCCTTTGGCTTCGATTCCTTCAGCAGTATTATAATTCAATGATAGGAAAGCCAATGATAATCAAAGTCAATTATCCTCAATTTTTTAGTGACGAGCATTTTTTTAAGTTTAAATTTGCAAATCTAATTTTTTCGTTCATATCAGAAACTGTTCTCTGATCTTACAGTAGAGTGTAATTGTTTGGTTTCTGTAAGGATGACCTAGTTTTATCTGATATTGCACTGCAACAAAAATGGCTGAATACTTCATAGAACATAATTGATTATATTTGGTCTGGAAGTCAGTGAAAAAGAAAAGACAATTCTGATAATGAATGAAGAGAGGGTCGAAACAGATGTGACATTTGTACACTAACTTAGAAACAAATGATAAAAATATACTGCCTCAAAAGCTATTGAATGGTTATTTTTGCCATCGCTTTCAACTATTTCAAGTACTACTGGCCTTTTATCTCTCTCTATGAATTCTCAGCTTCCATTTTCCCAGAAACCTTCAACAGTAGAAGACTCTCAGCCGAAGTAATAAATGGTTAGAATCACTTGTATTCAGAATATAGGAATACCGTATAGGTTGTGTGCACTCAGTGCTAGTGCTATAGTTCTGGTGAACGAAAAAAAAAATGTGCTCGAAGAATCGAAGACCAAAATTTCATTTTAAATTCTAATTTTACTCTCTTATTTATTCTCAATAGTTAAACCTCACAAGACGTAATAAATCCATCTATCCTTTTTTAGCCTCCAGATTTCATGGAAGATTGTATTTCCTCCATTCAATAAAGCAAAATTAGGAGATACAGGTTCCCAAGCAAAAAAAAGTTCCTTACTGAACATAGAAATCAGTGAGATGCTTCTAAACTAACCCATCTCCACACCTGTTGACCACGAAAATCCAGCTGAGTGTATTTCACTGAGTTTAATGCCTATTTTTTGTGCTGAATAACACAAACACGGAAGGAATGATAATTTACTGATAGCAAAGAAAGTGTTTTTTTTGTTTGAAAGGAATACAAACATACCCAAAAACTTCAGAACAAATGTGTATGATAACTTATTGCAAATACAAAGATTTCTTCAGATTACTGCAGTACAATGAAAAGTGAAATGAGCGAATATGTACCATTTATGAATGTATATTATCTATAAACAATACTACACATACATTGATAACTGAAGACACATATAGGACCGAAAAAGAACGATACCGTGAATTACTCGTTGTTATTACACCACAAATTCTAACGTCATTCAAGTAATGCAAAACTTTTTTCCATACGTTTGAAAGTTATTCAAAATTTCCACAAAATGTTTTAATAGGAACAATAAATTTCAAAATCGAGCAAGTTTGGTTTTTTGACTCCATGTCATGAATAATAGCTTGTAAATCATTTCACTGGCTGCAAAAAGCCAAACAGTTCAAGAATAGGCAAGAAATTATTACTAAGTGATATCAATGAATTTGGACTAACAAAAACACTATTAGAGTCATTATTATTGTTATATAGCCGTTTCATCAAGTAAATCAACATTTACATGGCAGAACTTTGCCTTGAATCCATCTTGAATTCTTAGATCATATAAAACTTAAAACCTAAAGCAATGTGCAACAATTAATCGAAGAAATTCACGTTCACAAATAAATCCGGTGGAATTTAATGATTGAAAGATAGGTAAAGAAAGATACGGGCACAAGTGCACTCTGAGGGTGACGAGGCAGCAGAACATGAAATAAAGGGAAAACTTGAGAGACAAGGATTATATTGATCACAGAAGAACAGATCGAAGATAAAGAAAAGTGGATAAATAAATAGGAACATTTCTCAAGATTATGAAATATAGTCATACGAGCTACTGCATCAAAAAACTGTAATTCTGCTCCATGCTACTTTCAGCAAGTAATACATTCCATGTTCCAAACAATAGATTTTAGATCAAAGACATGAAATATGAAATCCACTGTCAATCTTTAACGTTTATTGCTCAAAAGGTGACTTACATACGATGTAATGCCTTAGAAAGCAACTGTTATCGATATGAAAAAACTAGAAAACTTTTTCAATAAAGAAATAATAATCATAAAACCATTGCTAACCTCAAAAAAAGATAGAGTAAAAAGCAGAAAAAAAAAAAAAAAAAAAAAAAAAACTGCTCATTCCTTTTTTTTATGATGAAATGCACGCACTTATCACCAAACAGCTGAAATGAGCTTGACTTCGAGCACTACTATAAATGGAAACTTACTAACCAGTTATCCAGACTTCAAGGGTAAGTGATTTTCCATGTGGTTGAAATATAAATCAAGCCAAACACTTTGAAATGAGCAAAATGATAAGACGTATTCCAAACTAAAATAAGCATTGATTTCAGGCTTAAGATTCTAAAATAAAAAGATCGGGAACGCGAACAAGCGATGTTTTGCCGTTACCACTGCTAAACTGAGCTCTTCCTCGCCCTCCTCGAGTTGAGTTTGACTGTCCACCTCGTCCATTCCCAGGAGGTCGTCGTCTGACTGGCATTCCATTCCTACTACCAATACCAGATAAAATTGAAGCATCAATACCCTGAATACGGAAATGGTAATAAATACTCAGCTCTTTATTAACTGCAGCTTAAAAATCAAATCAGAATAACATAAAAAGCTGTACACAATAAGTTTCTTATTTTCATATCTACAGTGAAAAAATTAACAAAAACCAAAAATCGATTCCTGCAAGGAAGATTACTGTCAAAAGTCAAACAAATTTTCTCCATAATCTGCTGACCAATTCAGCAATCAAGAAATCCGCTTATCACCCAGTTCGTTATGCAGCATATGATGCATTACATTTTTAGAACACTGATTCTGTATGACCTAGTAACAGATAATTACAACTATCAAGTAATGATGAAGATTAAAATCATCATCACTGCCCTTTGGGTAAAACATGCCTGTGCTTTGAGCGATTCCTGCAGTTTTCTGTTGAGATCTGCAAGCTGTTCAGCAGTCAAAGCGTCAGATTTCATCAAAATTCCTCCATTAGAAATTTCCGCTACATTCTTACGGTCCTCTGAAAAATTCGCCAGTACTTATTATTTCAAGACTGCAAGTTAAAAAATTAATATAGAAAACCCTAATTTCTCAATTCTACTTTGTTTAATGATTGCATTTTATACTTATGTTAATGAAATAACTAATAACATTTAGATCATTTCTTTCTTTACTTCTTTTAAATTGAATGTTGAAAAGCACCATTTCCAACCGGGCTAATTTGTCCGAGGCCCGAGTCTTCACCGAGTGAGCTTACAATAGACGAATGACTCGTCGAATGTTTCATGACATATGCTGCTGATACAACATTTCCCACTTGACGCGCTACTATATTCGTCTCACTTATGGCTGTACTATTTACAGCAACCACTGCAAAAATCACTTAAAGATATCGCGAATGCAAAATACCTTATTCTATTCTCCCAGCAACGATCGAATTAAGCATAATGTTATCTTTCTTACAAAACATTTGAAAAAATCTGTAGTACCACCAGTTAATGACTTTATGGATCCATTTTTAGGAATAAAAAAACACAATCTCAACAGAATGGTAAAAATTGTGTAAATCAAGTCCTGTATTACCTTCGCCGAAATTTTTAACAAGTTTGATGAGTTGAGCATTATCGCAGTGAAAACGACATGCAAGAGCAATTCCTTCTTCGTTTTGCTTTTCTGCATTAAATCTTGCAATTTCACCGCGCAATTCCGTTTGTTCACGATCATTCATTGCGCTCATTCGCTTGGCACGATCGTACAGTTCACAAGATTGTAGACGACGTTCATTGAAAAACCGTGTTCCTTCATCATGCGTTCGTTGTAACTCCGCCAGTAAATGACTTTCACGTTCAACCAACATTTGACGTATAGACTAAAATAGATAGTGTTTGCAGTCTTCTTATATGGAAATTAATCTTTCTCTATTCTTGCTTGTCTCGTGAGTTCGTAAATATCCTGATTAACAAGAAACTGTTCCGTCACCTTGTATTTTTGGTAAACCACAGCTGTATAACATCAAAACAGACAAAGCAAAAGATACTCTAAATTTCGCATCAATTCCAATATATGCTTACCTTAAATGAATTCCTCACATTTTCTTCAGCTATAGAAATTTGGTTTTCAAAAACGGTTTCTATCTTTTCAATCTGCCTATCATAGTCCCTTAATCCTGTCGCACCTAAAATAATTTCATTAATAAAGAAAAATAAAATGACATAGGTCAAAATGTTAATGAGTAACCATGTAAAACTCGAAAAGTTTTACGTGGTGTTTACCTGCTGTGAGTAAAAAGCTTTTGTAATTCAGGATCTACCGAAACTGCCATCCTTAGAAGTCATGTATAGAAATACGTCAGAAAAGTTCAGAATGAATTTATATTCGAAAAAATCTACATTACCTCCATCGCTACGATCACTGTCGAGACTCTCGGCTTCGTTCGATGTTGCTGATTTGAACGGAAAAGGTACTTTTGCATCACCAGCATTGGCCACTAATTTTTGCGATTCAGAAGTTGATAGCGGTACGGTCTCAGATCGCTTGTGTGGATTCACTATTTCCACAATTCCTGTCATACACATTAACTCATGATAATAAACAGAGGCTATGCAAAATGTTTTGAAAATCTCTTTCCCATTCCAAAAGTAACGTCAGTGTTCAGCTTCACGAATAATCCTACAACAGAAAATAGCACGTTAAGTTAAATTCCATTGTATCGCAGTTTCAAAAAATAAGTGACTGACCTATGTTTTAAAAACGGAGCACAGTTTCTCCTATTGTTACAAAAAAATTACAAAACATTGAAAATATTAAGTTGAAAATGATGCGCTCCCTTACCGTTGATGACCGGTGACGAAATCACTCCATTTGGGGTTCTAGGAGCAGAATGTGGTGCACAAATGCATGAAGGCATAGATACTGACGCTGCAGTAATTGTCTGAAAATTAGAATTTTAACAAACTTTCTTTTCAAAATCTTACATTCCACAAAACATTCAAAAAAAAAAAAGAATGCTAACTTGATCCTTGGCCATTTTCTTCTTCTTTTGATTTTTTTTATTCGAGGTACCTGATCTCTTCCATGAACCTAAAGCGCTTTGTGCACCATCTGCAACAAAGTAACTTGAAATCTTACCAACAGGTCAAATTAATAAAACTAGCAAATTTAGTAATTTAAAATCTTACAAAAATTTTTAAAAAACAACGATGTAAAGTTATGAAACACAACCTTCCAGCTTAGAGGAATATAATGAGCGAAACTTGAACTCAAATCTATGAAATAGTTTTCTTTCAAAACAGATATGATTTGACGAACCATCACAAAATGCTTGAATAGTTTTGTTAACATCGAAATCGAAATTATGAAGTGCAAGAATGATGTCGTTCTTTGATGCCGTACGTACCACCTCACGCACTTTTGCTACTGCCTCTTCAATTACTTTCTTTTCATTGCGATACTGCTGCATAGACATCCTTTTATATTAAAATAAATGAAGTGTATACGCCACCAACTCTGAAATGACTAGAATATTGCATTACTCCAATTTTGTTATAAACCTATTTTATGCGCACACGTTCTTGTGTCATTTATTGTGTCAGGCGAGAGTCTTTACCCTGTCTTCCAGCATATGATAACCATTTCGCCGAATTCCAATATACTATTCTGCATGTTCTAGATAACGAAGGTGCTTATAATAAAAAATGACTGATACGACATTATTTTTGGATGTAGTATAAATAAGAGACTAATGGTATTAAGAATTTAATATTTGTTTGCAATAATTATCATACAAATCATATAAATATTGACAAAACAATTCAGTCACTCTGTAATTCTCACTATTTCTTAATAAAACCCAGAGCGGTATTCAAATTACCGAAAACTTCTCCTTTAAAAAAAATGTATGTTACATTTTTTTTTTTTTTATAGCGAAACATTATTATCTCTTACGATTGCCAAATCAAATGACATCAGTGGTACAGACTGCCATATTTTTTGAAGGAAATGCCACATCAAACAAATTCAAGACCAACTCAAATACAGAAGACAAATGAGATGGAGGAAGTGAAAATGTAACAATAATGCAAGTAATGATAGAGTGTAAAGCAGCATTTCCTCGACACATTCCCATTGCACACTCACTATCTATTTCACACATTGGGTAGAAGTGAGAACGTCGCTGTAGTGTGTGTGTGTGTGAACCAGAGATATGAATTTCAGTCTGACTAACTTAGTGCTGTTCCTGTCACTGAGATTCTGACACTATAACAGACTTGCTTGAGAGATAAGCAATAAAAGCAAAGTAGCCTCCACTGCAACTACAATAGGTCCTTGTTATGATGCAAGTTTATCCCACATTTAAGACTGGCAGAACAAATCCAACAACTCGATGAAGTTCTGGGGCCTAGAACTATTCTTTAAGTAGCCAACAGCTCACAAATAACGACATATAAAGATGGTAACAAATGGTACCAACTATCAACCCCTAACTTAATCCAAATCACACCATGATTCCGGGCAGAAAAGGTGACGTCCAATCAACAAAAAACAGACCGCAACTATGGGTATATCATCGCGATTGTGGCCACTGTGAAATCAGGAACATCTCAAGGAAAAAGAGTTCAGTGCTTTGTTAACCGTGTTGCGAGGCATTTGCAGTCAGCTCATTTTCCTAATCACTGAGAAATTTCGAGTGTTCCTTCCGGTGAACAAAATCCCAGTGCTGTTGCGTGATTAGAATACAACCAACAAGTTACGAGTTAACTGCACGAATACTAGCCAGTTATTTATGTGACTTTTTCAGGAAATCAATAACACTTGGTCTAACCATGCTTCATCAATAAAAGCAGTTTCTTAGCTTCTTCTATCTTGAACTATGTCACTATGCTGCTAAACAAGAACTTACATTTCCAGTTGTCATTTCACAACATTCATATCCACGTAATTACCAATATAAAACGAGCGCAAAATGCAAACACTGCTTTCATTGTGGATGAAATTCATCTTAAATTCACTCCATAAGATATAACTCTAGCATGCATGCATGCCTTGCTATATAATACTAACTGTATTTATTCACTATGCTAAAACATGAAGCTGTAAAGTTATTTTTCTCTCTTCGTAATTTGTACCTTTCCTTTTCTTGCAGCATATGGCAGACAAATACTGAAAAAATAAAGTTACTGTACATTGATATGGCTAATAAATCGAGACTGTTAGCGATTGTACATGAAAAGAAAAGTTAAATGAACTTCACTTAAACTAAAGCCATTATCAATACTTTTCAAGAAAAAAGAAATAGATAAACCTACATAAACAGTCGGAGCGGTAAAAAACGATCATACACTGCACAGTTGTCGCCTGCTACTAAAGGTTTAAATTTGAAGAAATTTACGGAAAAATCTCATAGCAAATGTTCGGTGATGAAAGATTAGTAGATTCAGTGTAATTTCCTCCAAAAAATATTCTCTTCATGTGTTTCTGATTGGTTCTCGTGAATTTTGTTTAAATGGTTTTTTTTTTTTTTTCCTTTTTTTTTCGTGGTTTTATTGATGAATTCCAGTCTTGAAATACAGCGATTTATTTTGTGCACAAATAAATTAGGTCACAAAGTGACTTGGCTGAAAAAATTTCGAGAAAAGAGAGGAAACTCTAGGAAAAAAAAAAATCAAAATACACTTTTTATAAGAGCAGACAGAAAATAAGAACGAAAGTCCGGGAAGAATTGAGGATGCCTGATTATATCTGTATCATATAAAACAATCGCATCAACATAGAGCGATTAAAATTAAACCCACATTTCGACAAAAAAAATTAAACTTCACGAAATATATTTGCCTTTTTGAGATACTTACTTCCTGTCTACTTATCTTGAAAATAAAAGCCAAAAAAGTTACGGGAAAGATAATTTGAAAAAAAGATACTTTTACTAATTACCGAGCATCTAATATTTTAGGTAGAAAAACGAAATAGTAATATTTGCATCAAGAGAAATTCGAAGAAATTTGGTTCATAAAAAGTAGCTGTAAAATAAAGATAGATATGCTTGAAATAGCAATGATTTTTGTAAACGACAAAAATTTAGTGAGCTCTTTCATGAAATTCACAACTTTTCTGTTATTATGATTAACATTGTCACTTATAGCAACAATGTCGCCATTCCCAACACAAATCGTCGTCACTGACGTTTTGATGAATAAACTGCGAAGAATTACTGAATGAACTCGTGATAATAAAACGAAATATGAAGAATACAACTGCCAAATTAATTCAATAATTCATCGTGCAGTTTATTCACCACAAAAATCTTTGGGCTATGAAACTGATAATTACTCAGTCTTTTAAGATATTACTAAACTGTTGTCAACATTAGTGCAGGCAGGGAGGGAGAAAACCTGATTAGCTTTCGGAAAGAAATAAATTAGAAATGCTATAGGAGTGCTCCAAAAGCAGAATTTACCTATATTCAAAGTTTCATATTCCTAGTTTTCCTGAAGAATTTGAAAACTTCGTTGTGAGCTACGTCATTAATCATTTCACAGAATTAGCATAAATTTCTCAGAAAAAACAAAATAAATCCTCGACAAATTGAAGAATTCTTTTCCAAGAAATAGAAGGAGTAACAAAGTGAACAGAAGAATTTTCGACAAATCAACAGGAAATTTCAGTTCCTTTTCTCAGACGTTACTATTCACCCGATGTGTCGTGACGCACATGCCGTATCTCTCGAGCAGTCTTATGTGAACGATCAAATCCACTCAAATTGCTGCAATCTCTCACCATCTGTCACACATATCAAGAAAAAAATATATATATATCATTTTTCACAAAAAAAATTTACGCTGAATTTGTATCGAAAAACCGGAAAAGACAGCGTAGCGGCGCTGACAATATCACTAAAGCACGTCCACACTCAGTTCCCATTGTTTACTGAAAGATTTCCTAATGCCTGTCCTCCTAACCTAACCGACATGCTACGCCTAATTCCAGACGTCTTGACATCATTCTCGGTCACCCATCACCATATAACAGTTTTATATAAACAAAATTGCATTAGGATGGGCGACCTTACCTTCCTATCATTTCTTCCTCATTTTTTTATTCCATTCTCTGTCTTCTGTTTTGCCATAGAATGATGGAAAAAGAGTTAAAGGAAAACCTTTTTATGCAACCATCTGAAGATGAATTTTCAGATGGGTCACGGATTCTTACAGATATCTAAGATGGATCTTCAGATGGGTCACGGATTCTTACAGATATCTAAGATGGATCACAAAATGCCAAATAGGTTGAAAGATTTCTTCCTGTGCAACTGGGTTAGAAGAAGACTATAGAAATTGTCAAGTTAGCATTCATCATTTCTGTTTGCTCAGATAATAAACAAGTGATGGATACCATTGGTCGGTCAGTCAGGAAAATCAAGTTGGACAATAGGAATGGATGGATCACCAGTGGTAGAGAATGAAGTGGAAATAAAAGCAGTGAAATTATGTTGAAGGGCACTACAACAGTAAATAAGGCTTCAATCAGAATGGACAGTAATGCTCTATCGATTCTGATTTTGGGACATTGTTCACTGAGAATACCGCCTTTCTGCTATCACTGAGTAGAGTATTCTCTCAACTATCATTGAAAAACCGAAAACAATTCCAACTAACCTCCGGAAAATTCCAGCTGTTAAAGAGTTTAACGATGAAATTGAGAACAGAAAAGCGACTAGAAAAGATCTCAAAAAAATGGGCTATGAGCAAAAATAAAGGATGATTTAGTGTTATGAATTGGTAATCTCACTATGGACGACACTTCTTCCTTCAAATTTTTAGCTCTAAAGGATTATTCGAGTGGAAAAGATGTAGTTTAACGGAAAGCATCACTGAAAGCTGTCACTGAACCAATTAGTTGCATATTGGCTAGACAGGTAGAAGCGAGCGACATATCCAACGGCTGTCAGTATGTGATGTGCAGGTGGTTGGAGTGGAGTTGCGCTTGTTGGTAGTTAATTTGATCCGATTTGAAGTTAGTAGTGTTTCATTCGGGTAGCAATAAAGTGATGTTCATCTGAGGAATCTTGAGAAGAATCAAAAAAATAGCAAAGGTGTGGAGGCGGAGATTGAAAGCAAGCAGGTAGTGTAATAATGTCAGACGAGATAGCATGCTATACATGGAATGAGGGATTGGTAAACACAGCACGTTACATAGAAGCAGTGACTGTAAGCAACAAAAAGAGTGCTGAGGCCGGGGAGATGACAAAGATAAATAAGAATTACAGGTAATATGGGTTATATAAATGGTAAAAGAAGAGCAGGTGATTAATAGCAATCTGTAGTTTTTACCCACTTCTACCCATTTTTTAACTGAAACGTTCTTGTCTGTGGATGTGTAGCCATTGTAATTTCAATGTTTTAGTGCAATTTGGATCATTCACACTCTGAAATCATTGACCGATTTTGAAGCATTCAAATTCAGCTAATG